TAGGAGGATCCGCCTCCCGCCCGCCCTCCTCGCTCGCCGCGCGCTCTCTCTCCCTCGCTCCCCAGCTCTCCCCTCCCTTTTCTCCTCCCTCCCCGGTGACACACAGACGCATCCACCCCCCAGACCCCCCTCCCCAGGCCAGCTCCCTTCCGTTCGTCTTACCGGGACTGGGCGGGGGGATGGGGATTGGGTGCGTAGAGGGGGGCGCGGGGGGAGGGTGCGGCTCCGAAGAGACACCTGCGGAGGGGCTGGCCGCTCCTCTGAGCCCGTGGGGGTGGGAGGTGGCGGGGGCGGGGAATGGACAGTACAGGTCCTGGTGGCCACTTGGCCTCCAGTTTCCAGTGGGAGAGGGAGAGACCACCCAGTCATATAGCCGTTGTGGCGCTTTTTCCCTGCTCCTCCCCCCGCCCCCCCCGGGCAGTTATCCACAGGGGGTCCTCCTGGGCCACGCCCTTAGTCCATACAGCAATGCCATCTCCGTAGACCTCGATCAGAGCCCCCCCTCCAGCACCCAGGGTCGCCCTACCCCTTCGGCACTGCTAATTCAGAGTGAGGACAGGGAAAGGCGAGACAGGCCCGGTCAGTTGCAGAGGGGTTGCTCAGATGACCTCCTGCAAAAGCAGTTGGGTTAAGCACCATGATGGAGACGGAGAGGAGGTTGTTGGCGCTTCCCAGGCTTTGGGGGAGGCTCCAGGCCCCCAGGGGTTCCCTGCCCTCCCTCCCCCACAGTCGACCGCGGTCTCCCGTGCAGGACAAGGCTCAGTGTTCATGTTCAGCAGCCAGAGCGCGAGGTCAGAACAGCCGCAGTGCCTCGCACACCCGGAGCGGTCTGGCTTGGCTCAGCCCCGGGCGAGTGGGCGCCGGGGCCCCGCAGACTCCTCTGCGCCCATGCCCTGTCTGTTCCGAGGGGGCGGGACGGCGACCGCTCTCCTAAGCGCTGTCCTGGTTAGGCTTTTCTGCTCCGCGTATTTACAGCCCGCCGCGGGTTCAAGCCTCCCGTTCTTGGGCGAGTGGATGGAACTGGGGAGTGCTTAGTCCCTGAGGATCCCCCGAGACCCGAGGCTCGCTAGGGTGAAAGCTTGGAGGTCGGGGAGGGGTGTTACTGCCAACCACCCTAGGTCCCACCTAGCCAAGCCTGGGCGGTGACCTCAAGCTCAGAGCCTACCCCCTCCCCCTGCAGTCTCGCTTGACCCCCAGCCCCTGATCCCCTCTTAATCCTCCCAAATCTCCTGAACCTTTGCCACGACCCGAGCGCGGGCCATTCCGCGGCTCCTCCATGGGGGCTGGGGGATGGGAGCCAAGAGGAATGGGGCGGAGGGGCAGCGTTTCCAGATGAAAGCGACGTTGGAGACCACCACCGGCAGGGGAACTGAGGCACAGAAAGAAGTGAAGTGACAATAGCAGCCTCACCTCCAAGTGTCCCCAGCGCCCCGGATGCCACCCCATTTCGCGGAACGGGAAGCTGAGCTCTGGAAACGGGAGGGTCAGGACGAGCCCTCGCAGCCAGTGGCTGGAGCCCGGCCGGCTGGGGGTGGGGAGCCGCGGAAGGAGCTCAGGCGCGCGGGCCAATACTGCCATCCCGCGGCGACAATGCGGACGCTCAGACGCGAGGTCGCGGGTGCGCCAGGGCCGGGGGTTCGCGGTCCGCTGGGCCACGCCGAGGCCCGGGGCTGCGAGACCGGCAGTGTCCCCACCCTGGCACAGCGTCCGAGGCCCACCCCGCTCCTCCCCCCGACCACCCTCAGTCTTAGCGACTGTTAATAGGGCGAATCCTCAGGAGTCGTGGAACTGTGGCGGGGCTGTATAACGACGACAGCCGTGGCAGCCTCTTCCCATCTCCAGACCCCTGCGCCCCACCCAGACCTCGGCCGCACCGACCCCCATCGCCCACCCCAGTGCACTCCAGGCGCATGGTCGGGTTGGCTCTGGACCAGCCGGGAGGGGTGGGGCCAGGAGGAGAGAGGGTTACACCTGGCGGACCCGACTCCCGTTCTGGTTCACTGACACTCTGCCTCTCTGTGCCTCGGTTTCCCTGGGACAACCGGATGTAGAGCCGCGCCACTGGGAACGCGGAGGAACAGAGGCACAGCGTCGTGCTGCCCCCTGCCGGCTCTGGGGGGGAGGCGGCGCCGGAGAGAAAGGTGGGAGCGGCAGGTATTTCGGGGCCAGGTTCAAGGACCGGTCTCGTGACCTCCCGTAAGCAGCTCTCCCTGCCCGCGCTCCCCGCGCCGCACAGAGTTCGGTTTCCTATTGGTGCGCGCGCACGCGCGTAAACACACACACACACACACACACACACACACACACACACACACACCCCAGAAGCAGCTGCCTAGGGCAGAGGGGTGGTGGCTGTGTCTGAGGTTCCCACCGAGTCTGGGCTGATTCCAGGGCTCTGAGTGTGTGTGACCACAAATGGGCTCCCTCCTCCCAAATGGGACTGCAACTCCGTCATCCTGAACGGAATAGGGGCTCCAAGGGTCCCAGATCTGTTTGAGGTGCGGGAAAGATTGGGTGGGAGGAAGTAGAGGGGGCCCTTCTGCCAGGGGGGGAGCTCTGGTTCTCACCCAACATGGAGACCTGCCAATGCCCAGAGGGCTGAAGTCGCCAGGGCCAGGGCACCCTGGGGACTCTGGATGGGTTTTAGACCACCTTTGGGCCCCGTGGGGCTCAGTGGGGCTCAGCTACTTCTTA